CGGACCCAGGAGCAGACCCTCATCTGTGTGTCCGTCATATGGTTGCCCAGAACGGATGCAAAGATCCTCTGCATGAACTGGGAGCTTGTTTCAGCTGTGACCTGCAGCCCCCAGCCCCTGCCAAATTCCTTGGAGCTGCTTATTAACATGCTGACAACCCCACTCCAGAGTCACGGCATGCTGAGGCAGAAGGCAGAGGGGTAGGACAGTGTGGCCTAAATATCCCTGTTTACAAAAAGTCTGACAAAACACAAGCCCTTGGCTTTATCTTTCCCATTTGGAAATAGCCGCAGAGCAAATATACTTAAGGCATGAAGGGAGGTGGATTTATATTGACTTTAGAAAAAGCTGTTCTTTAAAAACAGGAAAAAAAGCTCATCCTCGAGCTGTGCAGACTGGCTGCTGGACCCAAAAGTCTTGCATAGAGGCTTAAAGCCTGCCTGCTAATCTGCAGCAGTTCTGTGTGAGCAAGTCATGCAGTAAACTGCTCTCTGTTAATTTTTTAATGCAGAATAAACAGGTCAAGAAATGATTAGCATGAGAATAAGTTGAGCTTAATCGGGAGAATCAGAGAAGATGAGAGGGAAGAGGCAAACTGGAGTTATCAGTTAACCACACGGAGTGGCTCTGCCTCCACGAGCTCGTGTTCCCTCTCGTTTTCCAGCCCCTCTGAAGCTGCCTTTTTTTCCCCCTTCCCTAACTTAAATGATGAGCTAAAATTGCTGGTATAAGCACAATGGAAGCCCTTGTTTCTCCTTCTCATTTTCTGTCTGCAATGGCTGCCCAGATGAATTGGAGGTGATAAGGCTCCTACCTGGTTATTCCTGATGGTCCTTCCCGTTCTGTGTGGAGAGCTGCTGATGTTCACGTTGTAAGGCGCAAAATCCGCTTTTGTGCAAGAACGAGAGCTGTGCTCTGGTGTAAAAGTTTCGGCACGATCCTGGCAGATCCGGGACTGAGCAGAGGCATCCGTGGGCAAGGGGAAAAGCAGCCCTCAGGACTGCTTGGAGTGGAGTTTGGTCAGTGGTCGGAGATCTATATTGTCAGATAGGCAGGACTTTGTCCACAAACTGGAATTTGAAATTTCAAAGGGGAAAAAAAAAAAACAAACCAGGCAGAAGGGACCTTTGCATGTGTGAAGATGACTACGCTGGTGACGTTCCCCCAGGACTTTTGTTCTTTGTCTTGTAACTCGGCTTCGTGCTTCCCCAGCTGCTCCCTCGGCCAAGGGGTGGTGGGCTGAGCAGGGGCTGGCCTGACCATGTTCAGGGCTTTCCTGCTCTGGAGAGGCTTCAGAGCCGAGCTCATCTCTGCTTCACCTGCATGCTAAGGAAAAGCTCCTCCGGCCCTGCAGTGCTCTGGGAGCTGCGAGTAACATGGTAGGAGTGCCGGGGAGCCAGGGCTGCAAGGGGCAGCAGCGGCAGCGCTGATGTGAGACGAGGCTGGTCCTGCTGGCTCTGGGCACTGGCATTTCTGCCGGGGATTTCGTGAGAGTGCAGGGCTGTAAGAGGGAAAAGCAAAGAGCAGGAGGACCTCAGGCTCCCGGCTGAAGCCTGACCACTCTCCACGCTGAGAAAGTCCGCAGGGGCCCCCAGACTCGGTGTTTTGGCTGACACACTGGAGGGCAGGGCTGCCGTCCCGCGGCAGGCTGGGGGAACGGGCCAGCGGGAACCACAGCACCATAACCCACGCAGAGGGCATTGAGAAGACGGGGCCAGGCTCCACACAGGGTGGGTGGTGGGAGGAGATCAGCAGGCATAAAAACTGGAGGGAGGTTGATGGTGTCTAAGGAGGAACTTGCTCACCAGGAGGACAGTCAAGCATCAGTTGCCTAGAGAGGTTGCGCAGTCTCCATCCTTGGAGGTGTTCAAGACCCGACGTGATCAGGCCCCGAGCAACCCGCGCTGCTCTCACACCTGGACCTGCTTTCAGCAAGAGGGTGGAGTAGGGATGCCAACATCCCTTCCAAGCTCTGTTATCCTTTGGTCCTACAAAACCCTGTTCAACCCACTTGACATGGAGAGCTAGCAAGCATGGTAGTTGATGGCAACCTTATCATAAACACGCTATTAAATACTCTATTCCTGATCCTCATTTAATGAGAAGGATGGATCTTATTTTCAGGGAATTCCATTTTGGTTTGGATTAATTTGCCAGTCAGGGATATATAGATAAGGCAGAATTAGTGTGATGATGTGCCAGTGTGGGAAAGGATTTACGGCTCAACAGATAAAAACTGAATAATCGCTTGGCGCAGAACACGCCATGCCCCAGAGCTGTCACGGTCTCCTTTGCAGCCACTTCCTGATGTAGGAGGTGGGTGGAGGGCACAGAACATGGGGACAGAAGCAGAGAGGAGAGGACCTGGAAGCTGAACTTCCCCCGAGCATCTGGTCTGGGAACAGCCTTTGCCTACCAGTGGGGTTTGCCAGCTTGGAGTTGTGTCTCTGTGGAATAAAAATCAGAAAACCTCTTCTGTAGGACAGAAGGGTCTGAATTAGCTCCACAAGCAGCTTCTGACTTGAACATCTCCAACCTCAACCAGCTGCAGGGGTCCTGTTAGCCAGTACAGGCCATGACTCCATTGGGAAGCTGCCTCAAAACCCACCGTGAGAGGCTGTCAGAGGGAGACAAGGACTCCCCAGGCAGGACATCCCCAGTATTTCCACCATGATCCCATCTCTGGGGCAAAGGAAGAGCAGGGTGTCCTTGGCTGGTTTGATCCTCAACCTCCACACTGAGTCAAGGGATTTGACAGGGGGCACAGGAGATAGAGGACACCGTTAGTGAGAAAATGACAGTCAACACGACCCCGGGACGGAAAGCGCCACGTCCCATTGACAGTCCCAGCCTTGTGAGCTACCTAATGCTCTCCAAACTTCCCCCTTCCTTATCTGCCTCTCTCCCGCACATGCTGCCTCTCCGATGTCTATTCCTGGCCCTCTTAATCCCTCCTGCCCATGGAGTAAACAGCCTTTGCAGCCTTCCTTGCTCAGCAGGCTATTTAAGAAAAAGATTTGTTTTGCTGAGCGGAGCAAAACGGGACATGCTTTTACGATATTTTACTAGACGCTGTGGCAAATCCTGCACATATTTGACCTAGTGTCTGTAGCATTTATCTAATCAAAGGGATCAACGTGGCCCGGCTGGGATTGGGATGGAGGTCCCTGGGATGAGGCCACAGAGGGGGCTATGCTCTACATTAGCATCCCCATCCCAGTGCGCACATCATTAAAACAATTTTTGGCTCAGGACTGCTCCTGTCAAAGGGAAGAGCCACCGGCACGTGAGTGTGGAGAGGTCTGGCCTCTCTTGGGAGCACAGACAGGATGACTGTTTTCCCTGCAGCAAAGGATCCCTTATCAACAGTCCCAAGTGAGAAAGCCTGGGCTCTCCCCTGTGCTCAGCTTTGCTCCTGCTAACCTGCAGCCTTAGGGTTGGTTGGAAGTGCTACATAGGTCATAGTTTTGGGGAGCAAGGGATGCTTGAACAATCCCCTCTGCTCCTAAAATGTGAATAGCAAATTGTTGCTAGCATCACTGGCCAAAGGCACGAGCTGTTGTGGAGCCAGAGACCTTGGTGGCACATTGTGGCACCGATGCCACTGTGGCCAGGTTGGCTCAGAGTGCCAGCGGGGCCGGGGCTGCACTGCGGGGCCTTGGAAGCACAAATACAAGGCAGTTGGAGCCCAAATCAGCAGCATGTGGACTCAGTCATCCACTGCTGGTTGTGAAATCATGGAGATGTTTTGAACACAGAGCGAGCCAATACCAACCCACTAATGGCTGGTTCTCCTGCGCCATCCAGCCGACGATGATGTGATTAAATTCCCACTCATTGGTCCTGTAATTAAACTGAAATGTCTTGGTCCTCTCTAAAGCAGAGGATTGCTGTGTTCAGGGTCAGCTGTGGAGGAAAGCTCCCAGGTTAGCAAGGAGGAGAGCTCCCAGGATAGCAAGGAGGAGAGCACAGGCAGCTCGGCTGCTTGCTCCAGCCCCTCTGCCCAGTACCAGCAGGGTCGGAGCCAAGGTCTGGGTGAGGTGACAGAACCACTGACAGTGTCGGTAGCAGAGAGCTGGCTGCAGCTGCACCCACAGAAGGAAAAATCCTGCTGCAGAGTAAAGCTCTGCTCTGCTGTACAAAGCCCAACAAAAGTTTTAAGACACGTCAGTCAAAACCCGAAGCTGAGGAGTGTCCGGCACAGGGTGGCTCTGGTGGTGGGACAGGAGCAGCCCTGGCAATGTCCAGGACACTCGTGCCACCCCCTAGCCCCGCTCGCCATTTGGGCATGGCTGCAGAATGGGATCTGTTTATAGGGCATCCAACCCCTGTAAAACTCAGTTTATAGGGAAGTAAAAGGAGTCAAACGTCGTTACTTTGCATAGCAACGTGTAAATTGCCAGGCAGGCACTGACCTTCTCTGATGGGAGGGAGAAAAAGGAAAAGGTGTGGGAGGGATGGAGGGAGCAAAAGAAGGGAAAATCAGGGCGAAAAGGCAACCAGCGGTGGAGAGGGGAAGGAGATGACAGAAGTGAAGAGCAAACTTGTTCTCCCGCTGGGTTTTTTTCCAAGTTTTCCACCCCAGGTACAATTAGGACCAAAAGCAGGAGCCCAGCATCAAGGTCAATAGCCCGGGAAGGTGTTCCCTTGTCGGCGAACGCCTGCTTCTGCAGTTCTGCCTGCACCCAGCAGCCGGGATCGGCAAAGCACCTCAACATTCAATCATAAACAGTCAACAAGAATCACTGCTCCTCCACCAAAAAAAAAAACCCAACCCACAGCTTAGCAGCGTTTGGCAGTGGGTGAGATGATTAAAGATTAACCCCCTGCCTCCTGCCTCCACCCCTCTAGGGAGTATAGGCCTTGAGGCTCAGCAAATCCTTTCAGAGAAATATTTGAAATAAAAGACAACAGATAGGGGACGCAGCGAAGGCAGAGGGAGGCAGAAGGGCCAATAGCCTCGGACAAGGGAATCGAAACAATCTGGCCCGTGTTTGCTGATGATAATGCGCCTTTCCAAAGCCCTAATAGACATGGAGATGGCAGATTATAGCGCAGCGCTAGACCCGGCGTATACCACTCTGGAGTTTGAGAACATGCAAGTGCTGGCTATGAGCAACGGTAAGTCCCCTCCGTCTTCTCCCCTCCGCCGTGGTGGGATGAGCCAGGGGTGCAGGAGGAGAAGTCCCCGGGGTGGCTGCCGAAATGTTCCCGGGGAGGGCTGGGGCACAGCAGTGGTGTCAGCCGGGGGCTCCCGGCAGCCTACTGAGGGGTTTCTGCTTCCCTGGGGTAAAAATAGAGGTGGTGGAGCAATACTCTGCCCTGCTCAGGTGGGACAGTGCCCTGCAGCCCAGACACCTCAGAGATGGACACACGCCAAGAGTTGGGTGCAGTGAAAGGGTCCCCAGACGTTCAGCCCAGGGACTGGGACTGGGGCTGCGCACCTCCCCCAGACCCCAACCAAGAGAAAAGACTAGCCAAAAGTTTCTGAGCAAAATGCTGCTGATGGCTCACCAGACAGCCCCTGGCTCCAGAGCAAAACCAGTCCCATCCCAGCAGCCGCTGAGCCAGGTTTTCCTGGAGCAGAATGCCATTTAGTGCCTGGCAAGGGTGGAAATCACTATGAAAATCAATTGGAGAGCTGCCCCTGCAGCTGCCCCAAGGCCATGGCCCTTCCTCATGTAGTGCTGGGGTGCAAGGTGGGGTCCCCTTCCCTAGAAGCATTGCGGAGCCTGGAGACTCAGTCCCTGGGAAGAGGGGTGAGGGGGCCTGGTGGGGACAGACAAGTGTTCCCATTCCCTTAGGAGGGAAGGGTCACACTTACCCCACCAGGGTTTGCAGTGCTGGCCCACCCATTTGCAGACCATGGAGTCCTGGTGATTAAACGCACAGAGATAACGGGAGATTCCTCTCCGAGTCCCCCCTAAAGTCTCTCTAAATATGAGGTTAATGACTAAACGAAGCACGCTGCAGAAATGACCCCCCCCCAAGCCCTGTCCTCCTGCTTACTGCATCATCAAGGCTGCCAGGGCATCCCTGTCCCAGGAGGGCTGTGCCAGCGGCGTGGGCTCTCCCCCACAGCCTCTGCTGGTCTTCCCCAGACTATGGCTCTGCTCTGTCACAGACGTGACACCACGGTGCCAAAGCAGCTCTGTGTGCAATAAGCCCCCGCGACACTGGGTCTCAGCCCCTTCTGTGCTCCCCAGGCTGGTGTTACCCTGCCGGGGGTCTCGGGGATGAAAGCAGCCCCTTCGGCTCTGTTGATGCCCATCCTGACCCTCCGGGACAAGCCCAGGCCACGCTCCCTCTCCGCGCCCCTCTCCCACCTGGCATGCAGAAGATCCCGCACAGGGGGCTGCAACTTGTCCCCCTGGGGCCAGGGGCTCCATGGGGCAGAGGGACACAGTAATTTTATGTGTCGAGACCAGGCACGATATGAAATATGACCCAGAGGTGGATGAATCAGGTGGCACCAACACCCCTCCTCCTCTACCCAGCTCCGGGCCAGGGGCAGGACTTGCGTTGGCATTCCAGAAGCTGCCTGCACCCCTGCCTCCAAAATCTCTGCCTCCTTTTCCGGCTGAGGACTGCAGGAGAGCTGGGCCCCTGCCCTGCACAGCTCCACAGCTCCAGCCCAGCAGTGACCACAGAATAACTGCATCCCATGCTCAGTCAGGCTTGGGGACCTCTTGAGAAGCTCCTGTCCTCCTAACACAAGTCTCTACTGCGAGATTTCACATTTTATGTAGGGTTTCTTTTCTTTCCTCTCTTTACCTTCACTCCAAATCAATCCCGTTAAACCCACTTCAGTGCAGCAGCCAGAAGCCTGTATTTCTGCCTCTACAAAATAAACTTAATTGGAAAATTATCCATCAGGCAATAACACCACTGTCAGTTGGCTATTAGACTAAGATATTGTAATTTCTTTGATAATGGTGCCAGTTTTTCCTGTTGTATGTCCATCTCATTACAGCACGATATATACTGCTAAAAACTGATTTATCGGGGCTGTCACAGCTATGCAAGTAATGTGATTACAGGAAGATCGGCTCTTCCTTCCCCTCCGGTGCAAGCCCTGAGTTTAGCTGAGACTGGAAATCTAACTTTCCTTCTGGAACAACCTCCACCCAGCTGAGCCCTTGGGATGCGTTTGGAGGAAGGATGTTTTTGGACACAGGGACAGGAGACAGCCAGAGCTGGCTTGGGAGGAGCTCAGGGCTTTGGGAGCAGAGAGAGTTGCCTGGCATGGGCAGCGCTGCACACACAGAAAGCACAGCCGCGCGGCAAGGTGTGCCAGGCAAGGACACAGAGTGACAGCAAACTGACTTGGGAAAGAAAAGCAGGAGGAATGAGGAATTGGAAAGACAGAAAGCAGTCAGGGAAAGGAAGGCTGCTGCCAGAGCCAGTGAAGCGGCTGGCTTGGGATTTCCCTATGCCAGCTCACTGCCAGGGGCCACAGGATCCACCCCAGGTTACTTGTGCCGAAGGATGGCACAAGGAGGCTGTGCAGCACCTGCTGCAACATTACTTTCTCTGCAGAATAAATGCTAAAATTGTCACCCTGCCCCAGGCAGCATTACCTTGGACTCCCCCAGCACCCACGCAGCAGCTCCCAAAAGACACCCTCTTGGGACCAGCCTTTTTATAGCACCCAGCCCCCTTTCTGCTGGGTGCCAAGTGGGAGCAGCTGTGGCCCTCCCAGGGCGAGAGTTAATTTCGTCCCTGACAAACCCAGAGACCAGGGACTAATAGCCTCAGGTATTGAAACCCCAGCAGGGTTCTGTAGCTTTGTAGATTGTGGGTATCACTTGCAACTGGGATTTCCACTGAGGCAGGGGGATGTGCCTGTGCTGATACAGGAAAATGTGCATGGGAGGAGACAATTAGATCAACTGAATTAAGGGCTGATCCCTTCAGCCTTGAGGTTTCTTTGACTTGCTGGAGGGGTTTTAGTATAGGGCTTGTATGGTTTTGAGCCTTTCAGATGTCCTTTCCTACGGAGGCTGCTGCAATTCCCTGTTCTCTCAAAAGAGCCTTACAGATGCCAGCTCCACTCGGTCTGTAAGGACTATAGGACATCAGTCTAAGCCGTAGTGCTACCAGACTCTGGAAAATATCCCACATACAGCCTCCTCCATGCTACAGCATCACCCTTTTTTCCTGGGTTAGCTTGACCGGTCCTTCCTTGCATGGGTAGTGTTTGCCCACATGCTGAAGTTATTTGAGTTTGTTGTGCACTTCAAGCCTTGTTCTCCTGAAGAACTGCCGTGCAGGTTCCATGCCTGCAGAGAGGCTCTTCTGCTGGCCACCTCCTTTCGCTAAGAGCGTCTGCTCAGGGCTATCTTGGGCTCTTTCAGGGCTCTAGCACAAACACCTCTAATAACCCAGCTGCTCACCCTGAGCTGTAATACCTCGGCTTTAACTCTACACCAGCTTTTCCTCTGGCCATGCTACTGCAGCCCCAAGTGTCTGCAAATCCCCCAGGAATGTTGGCTGTGGCCCGTGACACCCACAAACGGGTTTCTGCTTTGCCTGACGGCGTTGCTGGAGTCAGGCCTTTGGGAAGAGCTGTCTCACCCTGGCACATGAGCAGCCTTTGCACACTCAAATCGCAATGACTTAAGACAGTCAGAGCACCCACTGCTCGTTACACACCTCTCTGACCAGCCCCTGCTGCACAGCCTGGCTGCAGCTGCCTGCTTCCTCCAAAAATCGAGTCTCTCACTGGGAACTGAGTTAGGAAATGTTGGCTGTTTGTCTCACTGTTGTCTTCTTCCTGTGTCCTTCCCAAAGCAGACACATCTCCGTCAGAAGCAGCCAACCTCAACACTTCCAACAGCATCGGGGTGAGCGCGCTCTGTGCCATCTGCGGGGACCGCGCCACGGGGAAGCATTACGGGGCTTCCAGCTGCGATGGCTGCAAAGGCTTCTTCAGGAGGAGCGTCCGGAAGAACCACATGTACTCCTGCAGGTAAGGACAGCGGGGACAGAGTCATGTGGCTGAGACAAAACAGTCCCCAGGAGCTGAATGGCAAAGCCCTCAGAGAGCAGCAGCATGGTCCTTAACCTCTTCATCCTCCCTGCATCCTCCATCACCTTCCCTGACCTCATGCTCCTGCTGGGAAGGGCCAGAGGCAGCCATCACTCTGGGATTGCCCTTCAATGATCACCGTGGAGGACCCTGGGAGGTCCCACCCTGATCTTCTGGGGGTCAAGTATGTGTTCTTTGCACATGGATGTGGCAAGCTGTGGATGCAACCAGCACGGTGCTGCCGGGGGGGGGGAAACCCTTATTAAAGGGGCTGAGCACGTCGCTACTCAGTGCTCTGAGTGCAGCGCAAACTCTGCTCACTCCCTGCGGGCCCTTCGATGGCCTCCCATCCCTCCTCCATCACGAGATGGAAGTGTGCCTGCCATCCACCTAAAATGCTGTCTCTGCCTGTTACGTGAGAAAAGAACACCCAAGGACACAAGCTGGGCAGGGTAGCGTGCACTTCTCTCTGGATGAGACACAACTCATGCACTGCACCTTGTGTCAGTGGTAGCCCATGGCTCTCCAGTGCCATCAGCAGCAGTGACCCCTCTGCTCTGAGCCACCGAGACACAGAGGGTCGCAGAGGAAACCAAGGATTCCTCAGCTCAGACTGTCTAAATCGCTCGTCTTTCTAAATGAGTGACTCCTGATGGCCTGACAGCTGCTTGGAGAGTGTGAACAGCAACATGACCCTCAAATCTGAGTGACAGAAAGAAGCCCCAGGGTTATGAGTGCACACAAAGCACGTTATCGCTTGCGCCCCAGGGTTATTAAGACTGGCTGCCCAGGGAACCCCCTCCCCACAGCTTCAGTGGGAAAAGCCTTGGACACCAGGTCGTTCATATAAGTGCTACAGAATTGCTTAAAATCTGCTTTCAGGCATCTGTTTGGGGAAATCTTAGCTTGGGACTTTAAAAATTACAGTAGAAACAAGCCATTTCAAAAGCTTGAACTGGGCATGGCTGGGGACCCCTTCTCAGATCTGTACACTTTTGTCTTTACTTTGCAAGCTTCATGAATCAGCAGTAAATTAGGGCAAATTTGCAAGTGAAATTCATGCTGCAGATGGCTACCAGGCGTGTGCTGCATGCAAGAGCCACACACATGAGAGATCAGTGTTGGCCCTGCCACGTGCGATGGGTTTGGTAGTGCAAGTGTGGAGGGAAGGAGCGGGTTGCTTCCCGAGTCCTCTCTGAAATACAGAGCTCTTTGCACACCAGCGATGCTGTCCAGAGGTCAGAAGCAACCTGCCTGGATCCCAGACACAGCCCTGGAGAGATGGAGGGACTTAAACGCAATTCTTCACCATACTAGCTCTAGAACATCCTTGCAACTGGGATCTAACTTACCACAGAGACTACCAAGGCGGCTCTGACCCTCCTGGCTCATACTTTTAACTTCAGTGGGGCTTCTTAGTCCGCCCTAAGCATCCTATGCTCACAGTAAGACCAGCAGCCTGAGCTCCTGCATGCAACTGTCAGCTCTAGCCCATCCTCGTTGAGCATGCAGAGGTAGAACAGGGGGCTGAGAGGTTCAGTGCAAAGAAACCTCAGGTTAAAGCAAGCATGGAAAAGGCACAAACTGGGGCTTCTTTCTCAGGATGAGAACTTGTCCTGTGCATATCTTGGAGCTCAGAGCTCTGTCTTGTCCTGTCCTCAGGCTCAGGCTTGCTGCTCCTCACCCCTCTCTCTCTTCCCAGGTTTAACAGGCAGTGTGTGGTAGACAAAGACAAAAGGAACCAGTGCCGATACTGCAGGCTTAAGAAGTTTTTTGGTGGGTGACGGTGTGGCTTCCTCGTGCTCCCCCAGCAGCAATGTTGGCTGCATGTCTGAGGAAGCCCTCGCAGCCCAAAGCCAGTCCCTGCTGCGTACCTGCTTGCCCAGCCAGCTGAGCCCCACCTTCCCTGCACAGTGTTCTCCTGTCACAGACCCAGACCCCTTTCACAGCGGGGTTTAGGGAGAGCTTTGGCCTCTCGTCATGAGCCCTGCATGTACCCAACCTGCCCACTCCCACCCATGTGAAGTGCTTGCAAGCAGCCATCACCCCAACAGCTGAGGGCAATGCCTGGAGGCCCTGAATGCTCCCATATGCAATTTCAGGGTCCCTTCTCAGGTCACCTCTCAAAATGACAGCAAAGAGAAGCCCACGAGAGTGCCACAGGGCCAGGATTGTGTCCCAGAACTGCCCACACTTGCACACACAAATCGCTCACGGGCCTCTTCAGCTGTCACTGACACACACATCACCTGTGCTCCCACATAGCCGGGGCATCCAAGTGATGTGGGAATGCTTCTCAACATCAGTGAGAAGCACAAACTTCAAAAGCAGCCTGAACAATTTGGAAACACTTTGGGAAAACCGCTATAAGTGCTGTTGCCCTAGAGTCACCCTGAAATCCACAGCTGGTCGGGTGAGTCCAGAAAAGGATTCAACTGTCATTTTGCCCCTTTTTTTCCTAACGTGCACACAGGTTCTTGCTGATCTCTGCGGAGAGCTTAGTTTTATCTGATACACCGACCATGGCAAAAAGATCCCAGAGCAAGGTGGAGCATTTTGGCTATTTCCATATGAAACAAGTGAAGATCTCCACTCCCTGCATGGCCCAGGCTCACCCCACCAAGTTCCCTGCGTCCCTGTCGCTGCAGCCCTTCCAGCTCCCCATGACTCAGATACAGTGGGACAGGATAACCCTTGTTTAGCCCTCCCTGGTTCTCAGGAGCACCAAGAGTGGCAAGGAAACCTGGGGCTGCTGTGGTCCTGCTGGTGGCCTTGCTGGTGGCCCTGTTAATGGAGGGATAAACTGCCCAGAGGAGCTGCCTGGCACTTGGCAGAGCTCATCCCGTTGATGTCCACAAACGGACAACCGTGAGGCATTTGGCTCTGTTGTTCCATGCAGAGGAATTAAATGCTGTGCTCCCCCCAGTTCACACCCCCTTGAGGAGAAAAGGGGTCCTTGAAGACAACGGAAGTACCAGCAGTCCCTGGGCGGTTTCCCCAGAAATACCAGCCTGCGGGAACACCCCTGAGCAGGACCATTTCTTCCCTGTTAAAGGGGATGAGGTATTGCAAGGAACTTGGCTTGACTTTTCCTGAAGAACATAGGAATCCTCTCCCCTGCAGCACCCACTCATCCCATGCCCAGAGCTTTGCTGCTGTCTGTTAATATTCAATAGAAGTTACATTAGGTGCATGACCAGCTAATACTGAGCAAACATTTGGAAAACATCATGGCGTGACTGAACTCGGGGCCTGCTACTGATAACAAGTGGCATAACCTTGAGAGCTCCTATTTACAGCCGCTGACTGCAGGGCTTTTCTTCTGGCCCAGCCTCATTATTGCTTTTTATCAGGTGGATTTATACATTGAGAACGTATCAATCCAGAGGGCCACCAGCCGAAGGCAGGGACTGTTCTGTTACCCCTGCCATCGATCAATACCTTATTTGAGCAGATGGCTTTGATTGGCGTGGCCGTGGTGAGTTCCGGCCAGCCCACGGCCTTGTGGCAGATTGAGACAAATCCTCCCCCCCAGCACTACTGCTTCTGCTCTGGTCGCTGCCACCTCGAGACTCAGAGCCCGGGTCCTCAAGACTAGACCAAGCAGGGGTCAGACCTGTGCTGGGAGTCTCCTTACAGTAAGGTATGAGGGAGCTCTGTGGCTCTGGATAGATAAGTAGGAGCTATTCTGCACTTCCTTCCTTCCTTATTGTGGCTTAGGTGGAAGTTTTCCAACTGCACCTACCCAGTGCAAGAACTTCCCAAACGGAGCTCATACAAGTCACGTGGACAGATGAAGAAGCCATGCAGGTACTCGACTCCTCCATTTCACACATCAGCTTTGGGCTGCATGTGTGAGCATGGGCACCATTTCAGACCCCGTATCTTGAAACCAAAATCTCAGAGCCAGATCCTTGGAAAAGAAACAAACCAGGCACCGCCTCACTTCCGTATTGCCAAGCAGGGATGCTGGGAATCTGCAGCTAAGGAAGGGAAACGCCAGAAGTCTGTGCTAGTTTTTGGTGTGCACTGCCATGAATGACCTGCAGCTCAGCCAAAATACTCTCTTGCAGCTGTACAAAATGAACGTGACCGAATCAGCACCCGGAGATCAAGTTATGAAGACAGCAGCTTGCCCTCCATCAACGTCTTACTGCAGGCAGAAGTCCTGGCACAACAGGTACCTCCTCTTCCTTCTTTGGCAAATACAGAAGCATCAGGTACTACCTGACCAGTAGAGCCCATGAGTATTTCATAGCTGAGTCTTCAAATTACCACCTTTTGCTAAGTAACTTATCTGCCAACTCAGCGCTGATTTTCCAAAGGCATTTGTACCTGAAACCATCCCTTTAATGCTTCTCGGGGCGGAACTCAGTTGTAATAATATGCAATAATCTGTTCTGCTTTGATGGGCCACATGAAGGCTGAGAGCCTGCTGGAAGAAAATAGGGTAGAATCATTGAAATCCAAGGAGATGCGGCTGCTTAAGCCAGACGAGGGGCTGGCCTTCCGTGAGCAGCCTCCCTTCCTCGTCAGCTGTGAGGAACTTTGGATTCTGGCTTCCTGCAGAGTTTCACAGTGAATCAGTTTCCTGCTTGTTTTACGCTGATATTCTTTCCAGTGTTTGCTTGAAGTTCCCCATTTCCACAAGCATACTGCCAAGACCTGTTTCCTAGCGCATTCACCTAAAAAGATGACTCTGATTTAAGAAGGTGGACATTGCAAACGGTGTACCTCAGATCAGCACTGCCTGGGAGGACACAGGACAGGACAGGAGCGCAGAGGTTGCGGGCAGGGTTTGTCTGTGAGGACAAATGATGATGAGGATGGGGCTGTGCTGGAGGCAAGAGCTGCTGCTCTTCACTGAGAAAAATTAAGAGGGATTCAAGTTGGCAGTCCATGCTCTTCCTTGCTTCAAGGGTCATATTAACCTGAACGCTGCCCCGGGAGATGCTCCAGGACAGGACATGCTGAGCTCTGGGCTCCATACTAGGGCTCAGGCTGTAACATCCACTTTCCCGAGGAGGGGATATACCAGAAGGGCCAAGGGCCAATCCTGTACACAAGAAGTATATCCAATCTCATCCCACATCTCACCTTGTCCTACGTGGGCCCTAATATATTTATATACCCTATAAAAATAATATTGGTGCTGCTCCCAAAGGTGGGAGATAATGGGGTCTCAAGTCACCAGATCTCCAAGGGAAAGACATTTCCAGGACTCTGAGTCCTGCCATGGCATCATATGTAAGTCTGGAGCAGGGTCTGCTGATAAAAACTACAACCATCGACAAATCCAGGGGAGCTCCTGCTCTCCCACAGAGCACAGAAAAACTCATTAAACAGGGCAGGCTCCAGCATGGTAATTGGTAACTTTTATGTGCCTGGCTAATTAGAACAAGATACTGCTGAGGAGCTGCTTTCTCCAAGATCTCGGGTCACTCACTCTGAGGTCTTTATTTATTTGCTAAGCCTTCCGGGCTCTCTGATTAGGGTAATACATGGTGAGATTTTTACAATCTTATTTATTCAATAATAGCTCGAGAGCTGGAAAGCTTCCAGGTAATGCAACCTGGAAAAAAAAAAAATGCAAGTGGCATGAGTTCTGTTTCCTCGGGGAGGCTGGTAGGGTCCAAGCTGAAAATGCTGGCAGGAACAGGACAGGAAGAGCTGATGTACAAGAGCACAGAGGGCAGGCGGAGGGCAGTGACGGGGTTGAGTTAATTGCTTACAGAAGCATGAGGATAAAGTAGTGACTAAGGGCAAATTTTTAGATGAGCTGGGTGAGCAGCTATGCATGAGAACCGGGCAGGAGGTTGGGTGCCTGGTTTGGGGTTTGTTCTTTCTGCCTCTCTATGACTTGCAGAGTTGTCAGGCTTGTCCTTTGCAAATGAAATGGCCCCATGTGCCTCTACAATCACAAATAATTCACCACGCAAAAAATGTGACCTGTGTTGTGGGCATGTTTGCACAGGCATAGGTTTGCCAAAAGGGCCTAAAAGCTCGGGGGAGGTGTAGCGTTGTTGTCTTTAAAGTCAGTCTTTAGCATTTCAGACCGGGCAATGTCAAATATTAATAACCTGGTGCTCACAGAAAGCAATGTCAGAGCTGGAAAGCTCCCTTCAGCAGACTCCTGGTGCTCATGCTGACTCAGGAGGAGCAGCAGAGCCTGCATGCCTCCTGCCAAGGGCAGACAAGGCAGGTCTGGCCAAGCACTGGCTGCGGAGCAGGGGGGAGGCAGGAGCAGTTCTCTGCCCTTTGGTGGGACAGAGTAGCTTGTGCAGCAGCACTGGGTAGACATGTCCTCACTATTGGTGAGGCTGGTTGCTACGTGAGCCACTCTGTTCCCTCCTGGATCATGACTGAGCACAGCTGTTTTGTGGGAGTGGGAGACCTTGGCTTTAGAAACCTTTCCTCTGCGCTTTCCAGTCCATTTCGAGGCATGACAGTTTATCAAGATGATGCACAGCCTCAGCTCTGAAGTACTGCATGTTCACAGATCCCCAGGTTGGTCTCAATTTAAATGTGCTGGGCCACATATTCTGGAGCTGGATGTTCAACAGAAAAAAGTAATCGTTGGTGCTGGAGCCTGCATCAACACAACCCATGGGCTAGGGATTTCCCCGTCTCCCTGGCACCGAAATCTGAAAGGATCTCTTCTCTCCTTCCAGATGTCATCCCCAGTTTCTGTGATCAATGGAGACATCCGAGGGAAGAAGATCGCCAACATCTCCGATGTGTGCGAGTCCATGAAGCAGCAGCTGCTGGTGCTGGTGGAGTGGGCCAAGTACATCCCTGCCTTCTGCGAGCTGCCCCTGGATGATCAGGCAAGTCCCCCCATGCACCCCACGTCGCTCTGCCCCAGAGAAGGCAGTGGGGAGCTGAAGGAGAGCCAGGCAGCTGAGACCTTCAAAGAAAATGGGCATTGTCCATGCTGTTATCCTGACTGCTGCAGCTGATTGGGAACAGCATCCATACAATGCCAGCACAGGCCATTTGCATGAGCAGTTAATCAGTCGATGAGCACAGCCATGATAACACTGAGCTCAAATTAGGTGCATAATCAGGTGCGCATTTTGCATGGGTCTCTCGGTCAATTATTTATTAATTATAGTTTGCGCGGCGCTTTGAAAACGTGAAGTGCTATACACATACTTAGAGCAATCAGACTTGGTAAGACAGATTTCTAGCCTAAGGTCTGCTCAAGACTTAAAGCCAAATCTGCCTGTCTGTCTCTCTGCTTCTTGCCCAGGGATATGTTTGTATCCATTCTCCTGGTGTGGAATTATTGAAAGTAAACACTCACTTGCTCTCAAGGCAATGAGAAAAATCTCTCTTCACTGTTAAAACAGAAATATATTTGCATTTAACACAAATTACTAAAATGACATTTGCTGATTCCATAACCAAGATAAACCCAGCTGGTTTAAAATCCTCTGTAAAACTAGACTATCTCAGGCAGCCTCAAAGAGATACAAGGAGATGTCTCCTGTCTAAGTCTGCATTTCAGGGATCTGCAGCAGATGTTACAGGACATGATGTGTGCCCAGCCTTGAACATCATGTGTGGATGGTGGGGAGGCTCCAGAGGGAAGGGATAGTGCTTCTGGCAGGGGATAACACTTCTGGCAGCGGCCAGCAAGGGTCCTGTCACAGAGAGGAAGGTATTTCCAATCTTCCCAGTCATCGGTCACAAAACTAGCATGGGTCCTCTTCAGCTAGGATCAGTCTCCAGCTCTGTTGATCTGGAGGTAACATTTACATCATGAAGAAAAAGGATGTCCAGAAGTGAGAGCATCCAACGGATCAAAAAACCCTAAACCCTAAAACTGAGCTCTTCAGTAATAACCCAGCAGCACAAAGCCCCGCGGAATTCAGTGCTGTTAACACAAAGCGTATTTATTATTGTGTGCAAGTGCTAAATTGTTTAAAATCATAAGAAATCTGTTAAACTCTCAGGCAAATACAACTCAAGAATTATGAAAACCAAAACGGATGCCAATAGCAACTGGCATTTACGCAGCAAACAGGTCGCAGCCCAGTGGAGGCCTGGGCAGCTCTGCGTAGCTCACTGCTTCCTTGTGCCACTGGAACAGAGGCAGTAAACCTGGATAATAACCCTGCAAACTACAGCAATTTCCACGTGAGCTCATTTTGCAGTTGTGGGGCTGCAGAATTTCTCAAAGAAGGAAACAAAGCCTAAAGATGACATTGCCTGCACCTTCCCACAGAGGAAGGGCTGCTCAGCATGCTCATCTTGACTGAAATAGGTCTTCTGGTAGGATCAGCCATCCCTCATCATGAGCAGTTCCCAATCTGTCCCAAAGGGCTTGAGAGGAAAGACTGTGCTGCATTAAAACTAATCAATTAGTGCCACCCGTGCTTTCGAAGGACGGAATGAGAACAGAGGCAGCAGATACACAGGGAAGTGCAGGAGGAAGGACAGAAATGCCACGGAGCAGGAAT